ACGGCACTTAACAACAACAACAACAACAGCAGTTGTCTTAATTTTTTCATACCTTGTAAGAAATGTGTTTTTTTCTTAATGAGCATTTTGTAGTGTATGTGCTATTTTCTATTAAATACCCTAAGTGGTTTTTGTCATTTTTTATAACCCAAAAAACTCTTGTTTTTGTTGTTGTTAGTGCCAGCAGATTGGTTTCAACTCATAGCAACCTTGTACATGGTTTTTGAAGAGCGACCAGTGGGTTAGCAGTCCAGTGTTTCCAAGGCTGTAAATCTTCATGGGGGCAGATAGCCTCATCTTTTCTTGTGTGGAGCAGCTGGTGGACTTGAAATAGAGACCTTGGTCTAGGAATCCAGTGCCTAAGCCACAGTGCCACCAGGGCTCCTTTGTCATTTTATATAGCCCTTATAATTTATTTTGTAAACTTCTATGTTTTTAAGCATGCTAATCTATGATGCAGTCATAATTTATAAATATATCGGTTAAGGAAATAGTTTATTTCTAAGTTTTTATTTTCGAGGTAATGCTGTAATCAGCATTTTCATAAATAAAAATCCTTTGCTTTTGTAAACTGGTTTCCTTAGGAATAAAGTGATGAAGTGTTATGTTAATGGCTCTTGACACTATTCCCGAAGGAAGTTCTAATTTTTGTATCACAAATAAGGATTATCCTACAGTCTCATCTGTACCAGGGTGGCCTCCTTGTTCGTGTCTGCTATGTTTATACTGTGGTACAGTAAAGATTCGTGTGCCCCTAGAGATGTACAGTGGTGTAGTAAAGGTGCATGTGCCCGCTATATGTGTACTATGGCATTGTGAAGATGTTTGTACACATTGTATATGTACTATTTAGTTCTGTTGTTCACAGGTTCCTGAGTCAGTACTGACTCGATGGCTCCTAGCAACAACAACAAAATGGCCCTGTAGGATAAACACTGGACTGGGAATTGAAAGATTGGTGTTTCATACCCACCTGCCACTCCTCAGAAACCCTGAATAGGCTTTCGATGAGTCGAAACTGACTTCATGGCACTTAACAAAAATAGCCAAGTGGTACTTAGTAAAGGTGTTTCAATTTGCTTTTCAAATTCCAAATTTTCAAATTTTTTTTTATTTTTTAAGTTTTTATTGTGAGGTTTACATGGGAGAACATCTGCTTTACTCTCATCCAATCATATTTTGTTTCATTGCAATCATTACAATCCCCTCCATGCAACATCAAATAACCAAAGGTACACCCCACAGACCTGCCCCCTGGCCGCCAGCACACAGCCTTTCTCCCTTCTGAGTCCAGTGTCCCAGCCACTCCATCTGTCCACGTCATCGTCTCTGTCTCCATCCCTGGCATCACTGCCTCTCTGGATAGGGTTCCGCTCTCCATTCTTCTCACTTGATGGTCCCAGGGACCGCCACTCCTGGGCTGCACAATCAATCACTCTCCTTTTGTCAAAAAACATCTGCCTCTATATTTCCTACCCTCACAGTCAGTCCTGATGGCAATTATTCACTACTGTACCACAAGAGTCTTATCCCCATTTCCTTTCGTCAGCCCAGTCCCAACAGATTGGAAGTCATTCAGTGGTGATTCTACCTTCTCCCTCCCTGTCTGGAACTAGGCTCCCTCTTGAAAGCTTGTAAGCCAGTCACTTCTTGCCTTTATAGCCCCCCACTCCCATTTTGTGTAGCCAATGTGTAAGTTGCCCATCCCTGTCAACTCTGTGTACCGAGGGGGTGGGGGGTGGGAGTGATTCTCTCTGTAAAGATTTGTTCCCTTTTTTGAGCTACTACATCCATAAGTATAGGTAAAGTTCATCAAATTGTAGCAGGTTCCTCTTTTTCAAATACGTTTTTTAAAAAAGCTTACTATGAAGTGAAAGTTGTGCATATAGCATGATACATTTTTGGTTGATATTTGTACTTGTTCAGTTGTAATCATGAATATGATTGGTCACTATAATTTTAATAGTTTTTCATAAGAGGACTGTTTTTACGTCTATAGAATTTATTTTTAATTTCCGGTGAATTTGTTCCCACTCATAGTGACACTGTATAGGGTTTCGAGGAGCAGCTGCTTGGTTTGAACTGCTGACCTTGTGGGTAGCAGTCTAGTACTTATTCTACCAGGACTGCTGAATTTATTTGAAGACCCATAAATTCAGTTTTTTGTACAATAAACGAATAATAAAAGTGTTGGCTTACCCATTGCATTGTGCTATTAAAGTTAGACTGGTTTTGTACCAGTGTCACTTCCTAGTTGTGTAACCTTCAACAAATGACCTCTGAGCTGTAAGAATTGAATTAATGAAGTGCTTTTAGCATAGTTGCTACCACAATTTTTTAATTTAAACATAAAAAGTTATAAATATCAGTCACTGCCTTTGAAAAAAATTAGAACTTAATCAATAGGCTGAGCTGGAGTCCTCTGTCTGATGTTATGATCTGGCAGTTTATGTCTCTAGGTCTTTTTCTTGGTTGTGCACATTGATCCGCATCCACAGAAATGGTATCGTCCACATGTGTAGAAGCAGACTACCGTGCTCTGTTTGTCCATTGGCATTGGTTTCAGCTGACCTGTCTGAGCTCGCTCTCCATTGCTACACTGTATTACTTTGAACTGTTCATTGGTATTTCTCTTTAGACTGTCATTTATTTTATTTCTCTCGTTATGGGCAGTTTAAATGCTTTAATGTTTTATAATTCTTTCATTGAAGAAAGCTTATGTATGTATTGTTCTAGCATAATCACTACTTCATAACTTCGGCTGCACCATTCATCTACCAGTTTGTTGTACAGTGGTGGCTTGCATGTTGCTGTGATACTGGAAGCTATGCCTCTAATTTAAATACCAGGAGGGTCACCCGTGACAGACAGGTTTTAGCAGACTAGAGAGGTGGGCCACTTCTGAGTGGTTAGCCCCTGAAAGCCTTATGAATAGCAGTAGAACATTTTCTGCTCTAGTGTCGGAAGATGAATCCCTCAGGTTGGAAGGCACTAAAAATATGACTGGAGAAGGGAACCTTAAAGTAGAATTGATTTTAATGTTGTAGATGAAGCAAAGCTTTCAGGACCTTCATTTGATGATGGAGCACAATTGAGAATGGGAAGAACCTACTGCAAATACCCACTAGTAATCAGAATGTGAAATGTACTAAGTACGTATCTAGGAGAATTGTAAGTTGTAAGAAATGAAATACAATGCATAAAGACCTTTGTCCTAGGCGTTAGTGGACTGGACTTGGCCATTTTCAATCAGACAATCATGGTTTACTATACTGGGAATGACCAGCTGAAGACAAATGCCATCACATTCATCATCAAAAAGAGCATTTCAAGATCGATTTTGAAGTACATTGCTGTCTGAGATAGGACAATACCCATATGTCTACAAGGAAGAAAGCATTGGCGAGAAACAAGCCTTCAGGAATTGATGGAATACAAATTGAAATCTTTTCAGCAAACTATTGCAGCACTGGAGGCACTCACTCATCTATGCCAAGAAATTTGGAATACAGTTACCTGGCCAACTGATTGGCAGAGATCAATATTTATGTGCATTCCAAAAAAAAAAAAAGTGGCCGAGCTCTGGTAGAGTAGTGGTTACGAATTGGGCTGTGAACCTTAAGGTCAGCAGTTCAAAACTACCAGCTGTTCTGCGGGAGAAAGATAAGGCTTTCTGCTCCCGTAAAGATTTACAGCCTTAGAAACCCTGTACAGGGTCTCTATGAGTCAGTACTGACTCCACAGCACATAACAACAACAACAACAACAATGGAATGCAGAAATCATCAAACAATATTCAAGTAAAGTTTGTTGTTGTTGTTGTCAGGTGCCATTGAGTTGGAACCGACTCAGAGCGACCCCATGCACAGCAGAACGAAACAATGTCTGATCCTGGGCCAACCTCACTACCGCTGCCACACTTGACTCCATCAATGATGCCCGTGGCTGATCCATCTCGTTGGGGGTCTTCCTCTCTTTCTCTGATCCTCCACCTTACCCAGCAGGACATCCTTCTCTAGTGACTGTTCCCTCAGTAAAGTTTGCTGAAGATAATTTAAAAAATGGTTGCAACAGGTCAAGCCAGATTTAGAAGAGCACCTAGAACAAGGGATATCATGCTGAGGTCACATGAATCTTGGCTGAAAGCAGGGAATACCAGAAAGATGTTTGTTTGTGCTTTATTGACTGTGCAGAGGCTTTTGACTGTGTGGATTATGACAAGCTGTGGATAACACTGTGAAGAATGAGTAGTGTAGAACACTTAATTATATATTCTTGAGGAACCTGTACATTGACCAAGAGGCAGTTGTTCAAACACAACAAGGGACTACTGAATGGTTTAAAATTAGTAACAGTGTGTGCTAGGGTTGTATTCTTTCACCCATACTTATTCGATATGTATATTTAGCGAATAATCCAAGAAGCTAGATTATATGATGAAGACCATGGCATCAGGATGGAAGGAAGACCCATTAACAATCTGTGATGATACAACTTTGCTAAAAGCAAAGAGGACGTAAAACACTTACTGATGAAGATCGCACCTCAATGTTCTTAAAGAAAGCAAACGCCTCATTACTGGACCAGTAATTAACATCATGATAAATGGAGAGAAGATTGAAGTTGTCAAAGACTTCAATTTGCTTGGATCCATAGTCTGCACTCATAGAAGCAGCAGTCAGGAAATCAGAGCACGCATTACATTAGGCAGGTCTGCTGCGCAGGACCTCTTTCAGTGTGCTCAAACGTAACAATTATGAAGACGCGCAGGCCCATTCAGTATTGTTTCGTTCTGTTGTGGGCAGGGTTGTTACCAGTCAGAACTGTGTACACAGTACTTAACAACAACAGCAACTTTTGCCTTTTTTAAAAAGCAGTTAACCCTTTTGAAAGAGGAGCCTAAAAAGTTATAGTGTCTCTGTTTTCAGCTGATGACTATGACTAATGGTCTAATCTGGTGGTTTGTACCCTTAGCACACAGCACAGATGAGTGAGGAAGAAGATGATGATGATGGCTGCGACCTTTTTGCTGACTCCGAGAAGGAGGAGGAAGATATTGAAGACGCTGAACCAAGTACTAGACCTGTAAGAGAGACTGCAGTTGGATCATTGGGCAGGACTGTAGAAATCATACCTAGGACTCATCCCTTTTATGGCCATAGATATTTGTAATGTTTCCACTTAACGGCATAGTGGTCATTTCTTTTATAGTTAGGAATAGTGATGAGTACCTCATATTTTATTAAAAGTAGTTCATTTTTCTCCAAATGTTAGTTTTACCATTGAAATCATTCAGAATATATTCGTTCCAAAACTTTTAAGGTCCTAACGGTCGATCCACTCCCCCACCCCCGCAAAACATTTCATGTCAAATAGTTTTCTAATCTAATTGTTCAAATATGAAAGTCTTAAAGAGACAAGGAGATAGAGCATTTTCCTTTTGTGGGAACATTTGTGAGTCTCATTTCTCCAGGTTTCCATTCCAATTCACTTAGATAAACCCTGTTTTTACCTTAGTTCAGTGTTTTTATTTTTTCCAGAAGTTTATTAGTTGTCCAAAAGCAAGGTGGGCTTTTGTGTGTTTTTCCAAAACAATAATTCTTTTCATCTCTTCTGCCTGTAGAAAAGAAATAGACCTACATCATTCGCAGATGAGTTAGCAGCTCGAATCAAAGGGGATACCACCAGCCGAACAGATGAAAAACAAACTGGTAAGTCCCAGTGGAGAATGAGACGAGAGGACCCTCATCCTGAGCTTCACACAGGGCATGCTTTCTTTTTCAGTTAAAAGGCACAAGAAGGGCTTAAAATAGTCCTTAAATTAGTACCTTTTTCTTTATCAGGTTTATAGACTCCTTTTGGTATCAGAATACTATAGATCCCTAGAAAAATGCACATGATGCATATCTATGTAGCATTATATGCATTTAAACTAGATTAATACTCTTGTCTTATATTTTGAAGTAAAATTAAATTTTTTTATGCAGTCTGTTCTAGTCAGTTATCAGTGTGCTAACACCAGGTCTGACTCGTATGCAGCATGAAGCCTGATGCCTCAAGAAGAGTGCCTGCTCGGGTTAAAGCTCTCAGTGAAGAGCTCATGTTGTCAGCTTCTGAGTAATGAGGGTGGCAGACGGGTGTGCAAAGTATCAGTAGCTGATGGCTAAGTGGACTGGTGATGGTGGTTGCATGCCGCTGAGCTGGTTCTGATTTATAACAACCCTGCATAGGGTTTCTGAGGCAGTAAATCTCGTTACAGGAGCAGAAAGCCTCATCTTTCTTCTGCGGAGCAGCTGGTGAACTCAAACTGCTGACCTTGTGTAACCCGCTGCACCACCAGGGCTCCTTTGTTGTTAAGTGCTGTCGAGTCAGTTCTGACTCATAGCGACACCATATAGGGTTTCCAAGGAGCAGCTGGTGTGTTTGAACTGCCAGCCTTGTGGTTCACAGTCCAGTGCTGGATGGAGTATTGTTCCAACTGTGAAATACCTTTCAGCCTTAGCACAAGGGGACACATAATCCTGGATGACATAGAGAGAGCGAGAGAGACGGAAAGGACAGTTTTTTCAGATGGGAGGCCTTTTCCCTCAGTTCTGTTGTCTTAGGATTCCTTAGACTCAGCAATGCTGCTTACCTAATTCTGTGATGTCCTTGTTGAATACTGAAAAATGAGGCCTGTCTCCAGTTTTTCAAAGGATCTGAAAACAGGCTTTAGAAGAACTGAGCAGAAAGGGGTGTGGAGTGAAAATGCCTGTGAACATCTGGATGAAGAAACTGTATAGAGATTACTTTTCTTTCTAGAGTTTTCTAGAAGATCTAAGGATCTCTAGCAGTTTTTCAAGAAAGTATTTCAGGCCCTTCTGTAGTAAATTATTGTTGTTAACTGCTAATTCATGGCAACCTCTTGTCCAGTGGAGCTAATTGCTGTCCAGCCTTGCACCATCCCCTTGATGGATTAAGGATTGGGCTGTTGTAACCTGTAAGGTTTTCATTGGCTAAGTTTTCTGGAAATAGATCTCAGGGTTTCTTCCTAGTCTGCCTTAGTCTAGAAGCTCTGCTAAAACTTGGTGAGCATCCTAGCAACACACAAGCCTCCACTACGGACAGGTGTGGTTGCGCTTGATGTGTGCTGGCTGAGAGTTAGACCTGCGTCTCCCACAGAGAAGGAGAAAGCTCCACCACTGAGCCACCACTGACCCCAGTAAGGAAACTTACATCCCACTCATGGGGGCCCATTTCCCTCAGATTCCTGGTAAGATGAGTCTTGAATGTGACAGTAGAATGCTTATCATTGATTCCAGAGAAAGCTGTCTTGGTGCAGGGGCTCACCTACTGACCCTGCTGTAGATACTTACAGACTTGAGGAAAGCAGGAGGTCTCCTTAATGGCTTTATTTGAAATTCAATAGAATGCCCTCAAATACTCTTTTTAAACATGGTTAAATACATTTCATGCCAGTTTTGGAGATGATGTTATAGAAGCTAACCCCAGGAATTTGCATTCCGAATCCATCTTGAACACCACCTGCTAAACATTGTTTTCTGTTTCTCTAGATGAAGAAGGTAACTTATTTGCACCCCCTGAGCTGACTGATGAAGACTTCTTGCCTTTTGTCTCTACAAGTGGAAGGAAAGGCTTGTTTGAGGATGAAGAGGAGGAGGTGAGTCAGGTTATTGGTGATGCTTCCCGGAGCTGTTAGGGCCACATAGAGGACGTGTACTTTGCTCCTTAGATTTCTTAGTTGCAAACTTCTTTTACTTTCACATTTTGGGACATTTTGAACTAAGAATTGCAGACTGAGCAAAAATACTGTTCCTGATGTCCTTTGTTAAGTGTGGAGATAATGTGAAACTTTACAATAATTAGATTGTTTCTTACTGTTTCTGTTCTACCTTATTTGTGTTCTTGTTGCTGTTAAGCGCCATTCGTTGAATTGGTTCTGGCTCAGAGCGACCCTGTATATATAGGGTTTCCGAGGAGCAGCTGGTGAGCTTGAACCGCTGACCTTGAAATTCAAACCAATCTTGCAGTCCAGTGCATTAATCCACAGCACCACACCAGGATGGTCTTAAATTGTTAGGGGTTTTAATTGTACCATGTCCTTCATTTAGAAACAAATCTTCTGGCAGAACAGTGAACAGGTAGCTTTAAACTTTACGCAGTACTTTTCTTTAGAACTTCCCAAATGCCCTTTTGAATTCTGTATCATATACCTTATTGTAGCACAGCGACCTCTTCACGGAAACTCCTAAGGACCGGGAAGTTTCAGCCTCTGTTCATAAAGGTGAGCATGGATTGGGGCTGATTCTGCCTTTGTGCGTTTTTTCCAAATTCTTTCTTTCTCATTAAGTGCTGGAACACTTTAAGTTGTTTGTTTCTTTGTTAGACAGGAAGCTGCTGTTTTTGACTTGATCTGGCTGAAAGCAATTCATTTCCATTAATTCAAGTTTGGGGGGCAATTTAAATGTACTATCTGTAAAACCGTATAACAGTTTTGCCTCTTTGTTAGGTAAGAATTCATTAAAGGCCTGACAGGAACATATTCTATTGTAGTGTTGAGAATATTATGATTTTAATCAAGTTTAATTCAAAGAAATCTTTCTCAATTTCTGCACACAAAGTGCACATCATCTGGGTATCTTAGTTCGCTAGGGCAGCCGTAACAATATACCACTAAGTAGGTAGCTGGCAAGAACAGAAATTTATTTTCCTACCTTTCCAGAGGCTGTACATCCAAATGAGGGTCTCAGTTTTTTGGATTCCTCCTGGAGGCTTTGAAGGAGGAACTTTTTAATGCCTCTTTTCCAGTTTCTGGTGGCTGCTGGCCGTCCTTGGCATGCCTTTGCTGCTTGCAGCTGCATCTTCACATCTTGTCTGCCTTCTGCCTAACTGTAACCTGTTTTTGTGTCTGTTCTCCTTTTTACAAGACTCTACTCAGAGGTGATGATGATTAGGACTCCCCCTATCCTGATAACATACAAAGAAAAGCTCCAGGTCACATTCTTAGGGTCAAGGATTGTTGTTGTTAAGTGTTGTCAAGTCGGCTCTGACTCATAGCAACCATAGGGTTTCTGCTGACCTTGCTGTTCAAGCTGACCTTGTGCTTATCCTATAGCACCACATCAGGACTCCAAGGGTTAGAAATCTCTTTGGTGGGGACACAATTCAATCTGTAACATTGACTATGCATTAAAATCATCTGAAGTTTTTCAGCAATGCAAATTAAAAATAAAAAATGCCTAGAGCTTTTATTCCATTAAATCCATAGTTTATTCCTTTAGGTTTGTGATAGTGAGTTGGGATTAATGATTTTAAGTTAGTCTGTGTCCCTGGGCCACACGTTGTCATTATCTGGGTCACTTTTGAAGCTACTTGTCATGCTTATGACCGTACTGGCCGACTTGACTGTCCTGCGGTTTCCAGGCTCCACTTTCGCCTTGCTTCCCTCTTTGTTATTAGTGTCTTTATATTCTTACAATGTCTGAAAGTTTTTGCTGTCCTTGTATATTTGCTTATTCTCATCAAATTGGAATGAGAAGAGCTAAAAATATTTTTAGGAGTCCTGAGTATTGGGCTCCTACATGTCCCGTATGTGTTCTGCTTCCTTTCTTTGCCTCCCCACCCTGCTTGCCACCCCACTAGTGTCTGAGCAGAGTGAAAATGACCCCGCATGGGAGTTACATCTTAGATCACACACTTACAGAAATAGAGGGTGGTAGCAGTTGAAAAGAAAATTTGGAATTTTGATATGCTTGTGTAGTAAAAATTAATTTAAAAAGTCTTCTGTTAGTTCTGTATTTTGTTGCATGCCTTTCAGAACAATGGTTTTAATAAGGAAAGTTATTTTCTTTGTGAAAAGCATATGTCTGTCTTTCTCATTTTAGACTCCTCATTCTCCAAACCTGGAAAGAAAATCCCAGCTGGAGCCGTCTCTGTAATTTTAGGTCACTTAAAGTTTATTTTTCTAAAAACGATTATAAATATTTTGCCATCTGTAAAATTGTCTTCTAAGGACTGGCTGGTTTCTGGTGGCTCAGGGGGCTTAAGAGAAATAGCACTGGCACTGATGTTAGCTTATGGACTTTTAGTGACCTTGGGTTTTTGTGTTGGAATGGCCATGGTGGGGCTTTTCTATGGCAATAACAGAGGGAGGTGACCGGACCCTGCATGTTAATATACTGAGTGGGAGAACTGAAATGAACCGTTTTTGGTGGGTGCTTATTTCCCCTCATAGGAGCCCACACTGGCTCATAGTTGTGTCATGCTTCTTTCCCCACAGGGGATGCTGATGTGTTGGCTTCTGCCTCTGCATCATCTCAGAAGGAGGCCCCAAAGCCTGAGCAGCCCTCTTCAGGAAGAAGCCCACACGTTTCAGTAACTCCTGCTGGCCTTTTTGATGATGATGATGATGACGATGATAACTTTTTTGCAACCTCCTACAGCAAACCTTCTCTGACAGGTATCTGGTCTGGCCTTTGGTTCTGGGGATTTAGCCAGAAACATAATGTTGACCTGAAGAAGACAGAAAGCTCTCTGGTCCTGGGTGTCTAGCATTGCCAGATTTCCCTCTCAAGCATCTCCACTTGGGTGAAGATCTCTTATTTTATGAACCAGTCTTTCTTGCTCTGGAAATGAATTCCTAGGATTATTTTCCCTGTGATGGTGGTGGTGTGCCATGGAGTCAGTTCCGATTCATAGCAACCCTTATAGGGTTTCCGAGGCTGTAAATCTTTATGGGAGCAGAAAGTCTCATCTTTCTCCCATGGAACATCTGGTAGGTTCGAACTACTGATGGTGAGATTAGCAGCCTGACTTGTAACCACGACACTACCAGAGTGCCTTTATTTTCCCTGTAGAGAGCTGAAATCTGTTCCCCTGTAATTTCTGCTCAGGAGTTTTAGTTCCATTCTATGGGATATAGCTTTTTTTTTTTTTAAGTTTTTATGGTAAATTGAGAGTTTACATGGGGGAGCATCAGTCTTGTACTCATCCTATAGTATTCGTTTCATTGCAATGATTATAATCCTTTGCATGCTTCATCATTCAACAGTATACAGTTTTAGCTTCTATTCCCTCTGTGTTTGTTTTTTTTTTTTTTTGGATGTACACCAAAACACTCAGAAATATACAATCATTCCTGCCAGTCTGCTCCCCGGCTACCAGCATACAGCCCCTCTCCCTCCATGAGTCTAGAGTCCTCAGCTGCTCTGTCTCTCCATGTCATCACGGGATACATTTTAATCACACTTACCAGCCCCTAGTAAAATATGTGAGCAGAATGTCACATGCTAATTTTTCAGTCCTCAGCTTCTTCCGTCTGAAAGCCCAAGTGACCTTGACCTTTTCTCATATGACAGGGTCTTCTGCCACTTCATCACTCTGACACTGTTCCTTTTTCTCCCCCAAAAGTTAAGTCCTTGTGTTCATGAGATCATGCCTCTAAGTCACTGCCCTTTTCTGTGCGGCTTCATATGCAGTTAAATCTTCATATGATTTTGATTCGGTAGTTCTGGGCTGGGACCTGCTCCATCTCTGCTGGAGGCTGCTGGTCTGGACCAGACTTGTGCAGCAGGCCTCCTGGTGGCATAGACTTACGGGGTGCTTTCACAGAAGAGGAGAGTAGGTCACTGAGGTACACTCAGTTGTAAGAAACTAGGAGAAAGGGTTCTTCCTCATAAGGAATGTATTGAGAAGCAGGCTAGCTGGATTTCTTGTCCTTTTCAGTGATAGGTGTAGAAAGTGAGGATAGAAGCCTCATTGTTTCAGAAGGAGTGCAGGTTTGTATATGTGGGTTTGGGACGATATCTAAGGAACATTAATTGAAGACTGCAGATTGTTATAGTTCGTTATTTGTGAATAATTAAAGTTAATGCCTTAGTATATTCTCTGGAGAAATTAGAAGCATCTACACCAGACTGTTGGACTCCTGGTGTGGCGCTGTGGGTTAATGCACTGGACTGCAAAATCGGTTTGAACAAAAAGGTCGGTGGTTCTAGTCTACCAGCTGCTCCTCAGAAACCCTACACAAGGTCGCTATGGGTCAGAACCATCTCGATGGTGATGGTTGTCTTACTTGGATTGGGGAGGGGGATGGAGTTGAGGAGAGATTTCAGTATTGACTTTTATATGCTTCTGTATAATCTGACATTTTAAAAGTAAATGGCAACCCTCAATTTTCAGAGACCCTCCTAGATGATGGCCTTGGCAGCCCTCTTAAATACTATCTTTCTTACCATAGGTCTCTACCGTTTAAGTGAGTCCAAGCTATTCTAAGCAGTAGATTGAACCTCCTTAGCTAATTGTCAGCCAGATGACTACATTATCTGTCCTGTATTTCATGTGAGCTGTTAACTGCTCTTAGAAACATTGCTAGTGAAAAGATATTTTTGTTTAAAACTTTTTATCATGAATTGAGTGCAGGTTTAAGTAGATCAGCTTTACACTAAACAAATCTTATACTTCATTTTGTTATGATTGCAATCCCCTCCTTGTACCATTAGATAATAGTATTTGTTAATGTTAAGTATTGTCGAGTCAGTTCCAACCCATAGCAACCCTATATAGTGTTTCCAAGGAGTGGCTGGTTGAGCTTGAACCACTGACCTTGTGGTTCAGACTTACTTTGCAGTTCAGCACATTAACCCACAGCACCATACCAGGACTCCTAACAGCATTTATCTCTGTCTATTTTTTTAGCAGTATTTATCTCTATTCATTTTATTATTTTTTTCCATGCCCTTCCTGTAACCATCATACAATGTTTAATTTCACAAGAAAACCTTTCCTTAACTTTTTGCATTGGGCTCATATAATATTTGTCCTTTTGTGATTCACTAATTTCATTAAGTATAATGTCCTCTAGGTTCATCCATTCTGTGAGGTGTTTTGCAGATTCATCGTTATTCTTCAGTGATGTGTAATATTCCATTGTGTGTGTGTACCAAAGTTTGTTTACCCATTCTTCAGTTGATGGGCCTTTAGGCTGTCTGCTTTTTTTTTTTTTTTTCTCTTCCAACTTTTTATTGTGAATTGAGTACAGGTTTACAGAGAAGATAATCATTTTTACATTCAACAAATCACATACTTATCTTCATTACATGATTGTCAATGTTTACATCCATTCACTTTATCTATTGTGTTCCTCCCTGTGTCTCCCACTATCTTTATCTTCCCTCTGCTAACCGGCCTCTTGTTGTATATTGCCTGTCCTGTCACCTGTGTTAACATGTGTTTATCCTGTAACCCGTGAATAATTTTCCCTCCCACCACCCCCCATCATAAATGTTTCTTTTGTCAAGAAACCTTTTTTTTGTTGTCCACTTTTTACAACATTGGTCTCATACACTTTTTTTTCCTTTTGTGAGTGACTAATTTCACTCAGCATAGTGTCCTCCAGGTTCAAACACAGACTCACCATTATTCTTCACTGTTTTGTAGGATTCCATTGTGTGTGTGTTATGTACCAAAGTTTGTTCAGCCATCCTAATGTTAGTGGCTGTTTAGGCTGTCTCCTTCTTACTGATGTGTCTCTTGTAGACAGTGTATTGAAGGACCCTGCTTTCTTGTCCACTCTGTTCTTTGTGTCTCTTGATTGGTACATTTGATTTATTTTCATTGAGAGTAATTGTCAATATTTCTGTGTGTTTTTCTTATGGTGCTGCTGGATTCTTTGTTCCACAGAATTTTCTATGCTCAGTTCATTTTGTTTGTGGATTTCCTTGTCATTTTCATTTATGTTATGCTAATTTTTACAAAATCTTTCTGATTTTCCTCTTAATTTTGATGTGCAGGTGTATTATTTTTCTTTAAGGTAGTTTGTTAATTTTTTCCCCTGCTTAAAACAGTCTGTTTTATCTTCAGATCGCCTTGGCTTCCTTGCCATGTGGAAGTTCTGTGTCTACTCTACTCTTTGTTTTTGCTTTATAGTTGCTAGCATAATGTATTGCTATCTCTGGTTTCCTGTTTTCAGTCTTATAGGTTTGCTTTACTTTAAATACTTGTATGTCTGGATTGAGTTCTGGGTGCTGTTATCATGTATGGTAATCTTATGTGCTTGTCTGCTGTTGTTGGTTCTCAGTCCAAACAGCATCCTTTAGCATTTTTTGTGAAGTTGGTCTGGTCAGTACAAATTCCATTAATTTCTGTTTATCAGTAATTGTCCTAATTTCACTGATTGTATTTAAAGGTTAGCTTTGCTGGGTATATGATTGTTGTTGTTTTCTTTTTAATTTTTTTTTTTAACTTTTTATTGAGAACTGAGTGAAGGTTTACAGAGCTTGTCAGTTTTTCATTCAACAATTCATACACATTGTTTCATCACACTGATTGTAGATCTCATACTGTAATATTACCCCACTTTTTCCCTGTGTTTGCTGTTTTCATTCCTCTTTCTTTCCTAATCATTCTGAACTCTGTCCTTGGGGAAATGCTCCCCTTTTGATCTGAAATGATTGAATATTCTAAGGTGTCCTTTAGACCATGTCTATTGTTTGGCAGATAATTGAGTCATGGGGGTGAACTTCATTTCCAGACATGAAGGGGGACTAAAGGTATAATCTTGGGGGTTCCACCAGTTTCTATCTGACCATTATGCCTGATTGTTTTTGCTTTTTTTGTTTTGTTTTAAGTTTTTATTGTGAATTAAGTGATAGTTTACATGGGAGAACATTAGCTGTACACTCATCCTATTGTATTTTGTTTCATTAAATAATTACAATCCCCTCCATGCATCATCAAACAACGAAAGGATATATTCCATGAGCCTGCCCTCTGGCTGTCAGCACACAGACCCTCTCCCTCCCTGAGTCCAGAGTCCCCAGCCGCTCCATCTTTCCACATCATCATATCTGCCTCCATCTCTGGCGTCACTGTTTCTCTGGGTAGGGTCTCGCACTCTGCTCTTCTCCCTTGATGGTCCCAGGGACTTCCGCTCCTGGACTGCAAAGTCAACCACTCCCCTCCTTTTGTTACAAAACGTCTACCTTTATATTTGCAACATTGACTGTCAGTCCTGATAGCAATTATTCACCATTGAACCACAAGAGTCTTATCCCTGCCTCTTTTCACCAGCCCCTCCCAGAAGGGTTGGAAACCACTCAGTGGACATTCTACCTTCCCCCACACCCTCTGGAACTAGGCTCCCTCTTGTAAGCCAGTCACTTCTTGCCTTTGTAGCCCCCCCTCCCCATTTTGGGTGGCCAGTGTCTAAGCATAAGAGCTTTAGAGACGACTACAGACATGGACCTCACCAGATGGAACACATAGAAATCAAATTGGCTACATCTGCAGAAAGAGAAGATGGAAAAGCGCCATATCATCAGTCAAAACAAGGCTAGGAGCAGACTGTGGAACAGACCATCGATTACTCATATGCAAACTCAAACAGACGCTGAAGAAAATGAAAACAAGTCCACAAGAGCCAAAATATGACCTTGAATATAGCTCACCTGAATTTAGAGATCATCTGAAGAACAGATTAACACAAAAGGCCAAAGACCAGAAGAGTTGTGGGATGGCATCAAGAACATCATACGTGAAGAGAGCAAAAAATCATTAAGAAGACAAGAATAAGGAAAAGGTAAAAATGGATGTCAGAAGAGACATAACTCTTAGGGTTTTTTCGGGTTTTTTCATTATTTTTTCTGATTATTCTTCTAGCATACTAGTATTGAGAGATTTATCTTCAAGCTTACAAATTCAGGCTTCCATTGCTTCTCATCTACTCCTTTACCCTTGCAATGTATTGTCCATTTCTGAGATCTTAGTGTTAATCTTTTGGACTTCTAATCGCAGATTTTGTTTTGTTTCAAAATTGGCATTTATTTTGTCAGTTTATTCTTGTAGTGTTTTCCTGTATTCTTCCAAAGTTTTTATTGTGTTTTCCTTACTTCTATCGATCTTTTGAAGGTACCTAAGTATCATTCTTTTGAATTCTTTTTCAGTTGGTATTATTGCCTTTTCTTCCTCAGAAATACCTTCTGGCTCTGCATCTTGGTCATTTGTTTGAGCCATTCTCTCATTGCTTCACATGGGCTAAAATTATCTGTTGTGTCTGGGACATTGTGAAGTTAATCATATTTGTAAAAACAAACAGTGTAGTTTTTGGACCCTGCAACTTAAGGAACTCACGAGGTAGTTGTGGCAGCAGGTTCCTGGCCCTAGGTGGAGTTCTATTGGTTTCTGTGTTATATGTGTTCAGGGTATTCAATCTGGAAGTAGTTCATGGGGGCCCTTGATGGAGCTGGTTTCAGTGTCTGTTAGGACCACGGGGAAGCTGAGGGCACAGTTAAATTCCAGTCTGTTAGTGGTTTGTAGGTCTGGAGCCGAGTCCACCTGAATCCTGGCACCAAAGCCACACACCAGAGTGGCACAGCTGCCCCGCACCCACCGCACCTAACGCTGTCATGATTCCTAATCATGCGGCTCCGAACTCCCAGAGAGCAGGGTCTGTGTAGGGTGTCCATGAGGGTGGGAACTGGGAAAAAGAAGAAATCGCCCATTTTCTGTTGCCTGTGTGTATCTGCTCTGCCTCCCTCCCTTCACTGCCAACATCACAAGACACTTGAGCTGTGTCTGGCCAGTCATTTCCCAGTCCGTCTTTCTCCCCGTTTCCCAGTCCGTCTCTCTCCCTGTATCTGCTTGGCCTCTCCTCCCAGCAAGTACTCCATCCACCTCTCTGACCTTTCTTCTGAAGTTCAGTGTGCCACAATTTTCATCTATTTCTGTTTTATTTTGTCTCTGGTATCTTTTGTAGAGGGTCCATGTAGTGTGTCTGCCTAGTCCACCATTTTGCCTGAAGTTAAAAATTCATTTTTAAAACTTTTATTGTGAATTGAGTGAAGATTTACTGACAAGATCGTCAGTTTTATGTTCAACAAATCATATACTTCATTTCATCTCAATTATTGTTGTACCCTCCCTGCAACTACAGTTGTCCCATTTCTTCCCTGTGGTTACCCATGTACAAATATCCTCTTTCAAACTACTGTATGTATTTGTGGGTTGTATAGTTATACATATCCCACTTTTCCTCTCATAGCTGCCCAGGCTGTGTGTGTGTCTGTCCATATAGCTACATACAGAACACTGTTGTTCCAAGGTTGTTTATATATCACTGTGTACCTCTATCCTCTTTAACTCATGTGTACCTCTCTTTGTCTTCACCTGTCTTCAGCACTGTTCTGCCAACCTCCCTTTTCTTGTACATTGCCCTCCCTGTCACTTGAGTTAAAATGTGTCTGTCCTCTAGCCAGTGAATTACTCTTACCACCCTCCCACCCCTTGTAGCCATCAAAGAATGTTTCTTTTAGCAGCAAACCTTTTCTTGAGTTTTCATAGTAGTGGTCTCATATATTTGTCCTTTTTGATTGACTTATTAGGAGTGAAAAATTGTTAATCTGTGGATTCTATGGAAAGATTTTTTTTTTTACCGTAGTATAATTTTATGTTGTGGTATCTTTTTGAAGACAAAGACAGATCCACTGCTGATATCTTTGATGGTGAAGAAGGAGATCTGTTTAAGGAGAAAACTGCAGCTTTGCCGAAAGTTGTGAATCACAAGGATGTAAAGAAAGCAACAACAGACAAAAAGGTGAGCAGGAAGGGAAGATTGTATGTAGGACTGTGAGCTCTTGTAGTATCTGGCCAATTTATTTGGAACCCAGGGGGACGTTTTGTTTATTCTCAAATTTATTATGAAAAGGTTCAAACATGCAGACAGTTGAAAGAAGAGCGTAATGAGCACCAAATAACTACCACCCCAATTGAGCAGCTAAGATTTCGCTCAATATTTATCTATTTGACACTTTCAAAGTTCAATTTGTAAGTAAGTTGTTGTAATTGTGATGTTTCACCCTTAAGTATTTCATATGGCAGCTCTTAAAAGAAAAAAGATGCCCACATAACTAAATTTTATTATCACAGTTGAGAGATTAATAGTAATTCCATAGTAGAATCTAATATGTAATCCATATTAAGATTACTGCATTTTCCACAAAATGTCTTTTAAAAATCATACCCAAGAAACGTTATGTTGATTTAAAGTCATCTTATACATCCCTCACTTTTCCCAAAAATGTCCTTTATAGCCTTTTTCTAAAAAGAAGTCTAGTTCATGCTTGGACCAAACCTGTCTCTCCAGTTTCCTTTTCATCTAAAACAGCATCCCCTAAATCTTTTCTTTCCTTTTCATGGCAGGCCAGTTGTCTAGTAGAATGTCTCACTTACGGAATTTGCCTGATTATTTCCTTTGATGATATTCACAATAAACACTTGTGGCAAGAATACCCACTAGGCAAGACTGTGCACTTCCTGTCTTACCGCCTTTGTGTCCCTTGTGCCATCAGAGGTGATGCTGAGACCCTTCATTAGAGCGTATCCTCTGTAGTACTCCATTATAAAGCTACCCTGCTTTTCTCTCTCATTATATAGTGTCATCTGTGAAGGCAAGAGCTTTTCTCTTCCCCCACTTCCCTTAATTAGTATCAATGTAGGGTCATGGATTATTAATTCCATGTATTGTAGTCATTATTCTTTTTGATGCTCAGATTTCCCTGTGTTTGGCCAGCGAGATGTATGCCATCCCTCTCTAAGCATTCTGTCTGTTGACTCTTCACCTGTCATCCTGCACAGGTCACCGCTTCCTCCTCCATCCTTGCTGTGACACCGTGACCATCTGCTGCTTGTTTCATAAAACCCCAGCTCAACACTTGCTGACTCCTGCCTTTCTTTCTATTCTGTCTGTGATTGCACATTTCCCCCTTGCACCCTGTATGAGGCAGTCCATCTGCACTGCTCACCAGTAGTCCACTGTCGCCATTCATTTTATCTTGCTTTTCTTTTACACGGATACCTTTGTCTTGAATGTCATTGCTTATACCGTCTCCCTATGCCCAGACCTTGTTCCGGGCACTCTGTGCAATTTCTTAAGGAACTGTTTGTCCTCTTTCATAACTTAGAGCAGTTTTTTAGTTGTCTTTCATGATACTTCGCCTTTGTGTTGGTTTTGTAGATATCCGAGGCCCACGGCATCTCCCTTCCCCAGCACGTGGTAGGATGTCTGCTCACAGCAGGTCTCTGCATTTTCTGAGTGAATGGTGGAGAAACTTATTTCCAGATGTCTTATTTGTTAACTCTCTTTCCTCACCCCCAACAAAGGTTACCCTGCCATCCAGCAAGCATCTCAAGCCCTTGTCAGAAGTAAAGACTCAAAAAGGTTTATTTTCAGATGAGGAGGACTCTGAGGTATGGAATACTTTTTCTCTGTTCTGGGTATAGTCCTTGAATGTTGAAATTATAAATGATTTCTGAACCAAGTTTTTCTCAGAACAGTTCACAAAATTTTATTAAGTATTTCAGTTCTTTCTTTGAACATTTATTCAGAATGTAAAGTCATTAGAAAGCAATATGCATATATAGTACTTTTCACGGTTGGGTTGAATCCAGTGTATCTCCTGGGATGAAGGTTGTCTCATGTCGGGGTTAGGCAACATTCTTGAGAGAATACTCAGGGCTGTGGTTCTGATGGACAAGCAGTGCTGCTCAAACTTTTGACATAATGAGGCTCTGGAGCCAAAATGGAAGTCAACATTCTGCCTCTTCATGGACAGTCTTAGTAGATAGTGTGTTCAGTGGTACAGTTGTGAGTATTCTGACACATGATAAAGGCCTGTCTTGTTAGCTTGCTATGGCCCAGTTGGCACTGGTTTGCAGACTGTTTTGGTCCTTTATCCAGGCCAGTACCAACTCAGAAGCCTCATTACTTCTTTTAACTCCCACAGTATTAGGATCTTTTAGACCTAAATTTTGGCTAGCCTTTTAGGGGATTTGAGACATATATGAGATGTATAGGGAAGTAGTAAATTCCCTTCACAGAAAATATGTGTATATGCCAAAATTTACTTGTAGTTTTAAGGAATTGTGGACTCCAGGTTCTGACCTCATAGTTTGACTTTGCAGTAGCCAGGATGAACATGAAAACTCTTTGAAAGTGGGGTGGTTGGTTACCTTTAATGTGAATGAAAGCTTTGGGGTTGACATTTCATCAAGACTAGTGGACAGAAGACAGGAATTCATCAACATCCAGTTAAGCCAGACTCCTGCCATGCCTGCACAGCATGATGTGACATTCACTTCGGTACCATCTTCCTGCTCCTCCACTGGCCTCATGCTCGCAAGCACACCAAGCACACTCTCCCCGTGGTACCTGCGTGGAACACTGTGCAAAATCTCTGTGCCTTATGTCTTCCTTTCTTGAAGACCTTGCACACAGTAGCAACCCAGCGGGAACACACCGCACTGACCTTCTCATCCCTCTTCTCTTCTCTGTTCTGGTTTTAACTAAAGTACTTATTATCATATGAAATTGTATACTGACTCATGTGCTTGTGGCTGTCTCTGCCCCAAACTAGAATAAGCTCATGAGGGCAAGGGTGTTTTGCTTCCCACCTGGGTCTCTAACACCTAAGACAGTGTCTGACATGTAGTAAGTTGTTAGTGATGACACAAGAAGCCAAATGTGAGCAATTTCAGTGACTTTAAGAAATGTTCTAACTCTCTATTGCTATGTAACAAGTCACTCCAACAAAACTGGCTGGCTCCTGAACCATGCAGCATTCTGTTCTCTGTCACAGTCCTAGAGGTTGACTCTGCTCACTTAGGCAGTTAGTTCTCACTTCAAGTCCTTCACGTGGTTTCTGTCTACAGGTGGTGGAGTGAGAATCAGCTCTCTTCATGTGCCGGGTGCCTGGACAACTGGGGCCTTTGTGGCGTCTCTCTCTCTCTCTCTCTATTTCAGTGTGGTTTCAGCATGGCAACTTCAGGGAAAGCAGGACTTCCTACCTCATGGTTCAGAGCTCCAAAGGAACACTGAGCTAGAGCTGAGCAGACACTATATTGCTTCTGTAACCTAGCTTGGGAGGTCGTAGGGTGTTGGTGAAGGTAGTCACAGAGGTCCACTCAAGGTCAAGAAAAGCATCACAGACTCCATTTCTAAATTATATGAGTATAAAGTAATTTATTTATGGACATGTTTAAGAGCATCATCAAAAGATTAATAACCTATGCTTCATATACTGAATGCTTTTATTAAACAATGATAGGATGCTTAGGCGAGGAGAAGTAAAACTGTGTAGGACTAAAGCTTTGGATGAAAAGGATTGATTCCCAGCTTCTGCCTCTATATCTCAAGTGTGGAGCTGAAGTCTAAAATATGAAATAATTTTGGGAATATCTTTTGGTGGGCATGTGTGAGATGAATGGATAGGTCTTCTTTTTCAACATCCCAGAAAGTATTAGTTAAGGATCAAAAATCATGGTGTTGAAATTCGCTGTTCTAATTTAATTTTATTTCTAAAAGCAACAGAGTTCTTTCTTTAAATGAAATCTTGCCAGTGTGTTAAATCTAGGTGAGCATGGGGTCCGGGGGCTCTTCTTGGGGGGGCCCCTTCTAACCCCTAGGGACTCCTTGGAATGCTGGTGAGAACCAGTGGTTTGTAATAAGAGTGGTTTTCAATTAAGCAACTAATTAGGTCTATACTTGAGGAGTAACTAAGTATATGAGGACCCAGTAATAAAAACAATTATCCAAGGAGGTCTTGGAAAATACATTCTTGACCTTTTTAATTGTCCAGCTCCTACATATTCTGGTTTCTCCTCCAAGGGAATAGTTGTCCTATTTTATTTTCCTAATCCATGCAACTCAATTAGCACATTTTCTTTTGCAGTATAGGCTGACACTGTTTAGAATTTTGAAAATGTCTTTAGGATCTGTTCCCTGGTTGCTTTGTCCCATGACTGTATTTCAAGTTGAGTAGCAGGTCATTTAAAAATAAAAACATAATTTAATTATTTAAAAGATAATAGTAATAACAGAGGAGAGAGGGATGTTTAAATTGAACAGTCATAGTTCCAGGTAATTATGGAATCTGGCTTCTCTTGCCGTTATAGAATTGATGAAGCTCTCTGATCTTTGACTAGAAAATAGGGGACATGCTTGTTTTTTAGTGTGCTAGGGCATTGATATTGAAAAATTTCCTTCTGTCCAAAGCAATTCAAGTGGTAGAAACGTTTGGGTTCTCAGGGATACCTAGAGTTCCCCTGTGGGTCCTTCTTATCCATCAAGTGTTAGCTTTGCATGTGTCTTTAAGGACTGTTCTCAGTTAGCTTTCTGTATAGTCACCAAGGAGATCAAAATAAACCTGTACTGATGGTAATCATCATGTCCAAATCTCTAGTGGTGTAAACTGAACTGTCGTCTTTAAAACTATTTATATCCTTTTTTTTTTTTTCCAGAAACAATACATCAATTTTATTTCAATAGTAAGGAAATCTTGTGAAATGTAAAATAATCTACATATTATGTAAAGTTATAATTATTTAATTGACTAAAATTAGAATCCTAAATCAGTGACATTAACTAATAACTATAAAATTAACTGAAGATAATTTGCATATTTTATTTTTAAAATTAGGATATATCATTAATAAAAAGTAATAATTCGAAGGCAATCAAACATCTTCCAGAAAGCCAGTGTTTGCAAAGCATAACTTTGATTAATGTAATGAATATGCATTTATTACTGTGTACCATACAAATAATACACAAGGCATTCTAGGACCTACAGAATTGGGGCAGGGGCAGTGGTTGATTCAATATTTTTCACATTTAAAGTTTTTAGAATATTGTTGTTTGATTTTTTTAAAGAAACAGGAATCATTGAATGAACATCAATGATAATTTAACACACTTGGTCTTTTAAATGTCATAGTGTCAGAGAATCAACAGTTCGAAACTACTAGCCATTCCATGGGATGGATTCTGCTCCCATAAAGATTTATGGCCTTAGAAACTTTATACAAAGTAGTTATGAATCGGAACTGACTCCAAGCACATAACCAGTCTAGCCAAGGAGACCTTGGTTATTGAGTTATTACTGCATGCCTGACTATTCACTCATTAGTTTATCAAAGAAAGATACAGTCCTTTTATCACAAATATTCATTCTTTAAAGCAATAAATGTTACTACACTAAGTAATAAAATATCAACTAATTGAAATGTGCTGGTATAATGTTGTAGGATAAGCATTTGACTACTAACCACAAGGTGGACAGCTTAAACCTACTAGCTACTCCTCAGAAGTCCTATATAGGGTTGCTGTGAGTTAGAACCAGCCCAATGGCTCTTAACAAAAACAACTGAATACAACAATAATATATATATTCTGTATGTTGGGTTTTACAATTCTATCATCTTACTAATAAATATTAATTATTAAGGTAGACTATTATTAGAAGCTTCACAGTGCATTTTTTAAGGAACTTTGGACTTGGGCATTCCACAAAGGAGTGTCTGAAAATAAAGTCTGCTGGTGTAGCAATGAATGAATACATTCAACAGAACTTGATTTGGCCCTAGGTATTTGTTGTTGTTGTTGTTAAGTGCTGTCTAGGTAAATCCGACCCATAGCGACCCTGTATAGGGTTTCCAAGGAGCAGTTGGTGAGCTTGAACCACCAACCTTGAAGTTCAAATGACTTTGCAGTCTGATGCATTAGCTCACAGCTCCACACCAGGCATTTGTTGTTGTTGTTAGGTGCCATTGAGTTGGTACCAACCCATAGCGACCTTATGCACAGCAGAACAAAGCACTGCCCTATCCTGGGCCAACCTCACTACTGTTGCCACGCTTGAGTCCATCAGTGCTGCCACCTGACCAATCCATCTCGTTGGGGTTATATCCTTTTTGATCACAGACTCCATAGAAGAATCTTGATCAAAAGGGCAGAAACGCAAAACAATTTCAAATTCTCATGGAACCATGAAGTTTGGAAACCCTGGCCATGAGATAATATT